TGCTGTCACTTGTGCATGAGAGTGATGGCAGCCATTGGCTCCAGATCACCAGCTGTGACATAAATACACCTTCTTGAAAGGTACAGTTTGAAGTAGTCATTTAAGCTCTATTTATATTCTTTATTTCAAATATAAGGCTACCGTAATGCCATAGGTATTACTTCAGAGGATAACAGATCACACCACAGAGTGTTTTATAAACRATTTCTCTTCAACATAGCCTTATACCGTCAGGGCAATTGCTTTTACAACCCTCTTCCAGTCCTTCCACCTTAGTCCAAGTCCAGCTCTTGCTGAGATTCATGATACTCTTCTTTCTGAAGGTTATTTTCCGATCTCACACTGCCTCTGTGGCAARAATGAGATTTGGGCCCACAGACAATTTATTAAAGATCCTTAATTCTGTCCCCTCTGCACTGTCTTTATCCATTAGTCATTGAACTAAYGAATAGGCACACAGTATGTAGGCAATGTGCGTGTGTTTATGGWGTCCTTTTAGAGGGACCTCTTCCTGCTGGGAGAATAGAATCTAAAGAATCTCCTGTCCCTCAGGATATATGTGGGATCACAGCAAAAATTCAGAGCTCCCTATCACCCTTGCTTGCTCAGTGCCCAGCTCACACCAGGTATCAGCCAAGCAGACCAGGGTTGCCTCACAAGGGTTTATTGCTGCACATCTGTCACATCTGTACAGTGGCATGAATGCACACACACACCATGTATTTCAATATGATGAGGCAGCAAACACTTTCTTCCCATGCACAGGTAGGCAGCTGTGTTCAGAAACTCCAAAACCTGATGCTGAGAACTTGCTTGTGTATGATCTGCTCTGAAACAGAAGTACCCACACCATGCTTTGGGTTCAAGACTTGCAGAGTAAAGTGACACTGTTCACATAGGCTCTGACTTGTAAATTATTTCTTCACTTGAGAGCAGAACAGTTTTCACATCCCAGTTTGGGGACGTTGGAGAGGATTTCAGGTAGTCCATGAGCCAGATGCTGTTTTCTGGGGTGCAGTGGTGGGTGCGCTGGAGTCAAGCTGCAGAGCCACAGCAGTCAGCATGCAATAACTGAGGGCAGCTCTTGCCCAGAGCAGAACACACTGATAGAYGGTAACCACAGCCAGCCCAGGCACCACCTTACTGTCTAGTCCACTAGTACCACACATTTTGTGTACAGATTATTGATTTTAGAGTACAGCATCAGAGACAGCAATGGTCTATGCACTTGTGACTTCAAAGGTCATAAACCATGTGCAATTACAGAGGCACTAYCAAACTGCTACAGTAGTTTAAACAGTGTTTGTTAGTTATTGTTATTATCTCTCCCAAGAGCTCAGTGCTATTGCTGTTTGTAGGCTGTGATTTACAGTGGTGTAATCACCTGAAAATACTGGGTTTGTTAAGCTTCTTAGGTAATACAAAAACAAGTCAAGCAAGACTTAACAGATACCAAATGGACTTAAAMCAAAATGTTTTTCTTGCCTGAAGATATATTATTTTACCATGTTCCACCCATCCACTTGCCAACAAAGCRGTCTTTCATTGGGAGACCCATATTAAATAAGAGAAATATAAAGRAACTTCTGTGATGTATCTATTAGTGGTATGGCCATCATAGCATGACTGAATGTTCAATAACAACACAGCTACCACTTTGCTCTTCTTTAWAAGAGCACTGAGTCAGGGTTTTCCCCCCAGAATCTGACATCAAGTCTGTGAAAGTCTTCTTGCTYGAAATGATTTAGAAAAACTGTGTGCTATTTGAGAATGTAAGCCACGCACATTGTGAGAGATTGTAAGACGCCTTAAAATCCATTGGAAAGTTGTCTAGTAATAAATTATTGTTGTATGAATCTATTAAAGATTACTTAGCCCTTCAGGAAAATGATTGCATTCATGCTTTCCAAGATTTTTTTCTYAACAGGATGGACTTGGAAAAACCTTTTTAAGATTATACTACACAATTTTTAGTTTGACATTTTTCACCAGTAAAAACCCTCCCCTTTGCTTACCTTCATTTTCCTCTGTCAAAGGAGATTAAGGCATCTCCTGAGTGTGACTGCAACTCCTGTCTTTCCTGGAAGCCCATACAGAGCAATTCCATAGGGATTCAGAATGCTATGGTGGGAGAAAGCCAGGAAATACAGGAAAGTGAAATGGAGGGGCTCCAAAATGTGCTGGCCCAAGGCCTCTCTGAATTGAATTTTGCAGCTTTCCAGGATGTAGGGCCAAGGCCATTTCTGCTTCAGATGCAGCAGAGGGAAGGGCTGGGGCAGGAAGTTTCCATGGGCACACACCTGCTGTTGGAAAAAGCAGTGAATAATCAAGGGAAGAACCCCGCAGCTCCAGCACCCTGCTTTCCCACCCACTAAAGAGTGAGGAGTCAGCAACTGCAGCTGTTGATTGCTTCATTCCTCCCAGCAGACCCCTTCCCTTGGGAGCAGCTGTCTCCACAGTCCCTGACCCCCTGTGGTCCAGCCCCTATCCCAGCACAAGCAGCACAAGGGTTTAGGCCACAGTACACATTTCAGCTCCACTGGTTCTGCTGTGCTGGGGCCAACAGTTGTCTGCTTTGTCCTGGCCTTTGGGAGCAAGCAGATCCACCCAAAGTGTAGTGTAAATACAAGCTACTGCAGTCTTCAATAAAAGTAAGAAACCCCATAATAGGCTGGAGACAACCCCCCATCTGCAGTGTTTGCTGGACTGTGGTGTGTGTTGGGCAGGTAGCTGCACAGGAAAACAGGAGCTTGGCCTCTGGGATAGGGCAAATGAGGCATGGAAAATGYGCTTTCCACCTGCCAGAAAGACTAAGGCTGAAGCTTTGCCAGTTGGACCACACCTTGAGAGTTGCTGGACAMGCTCACATCTCATTAATGTCAGTGRGATTTCTGTGGGCACTGAGCAACTGGTGTGCTGTAATTCCTGACAGGGGGACATCGCAAATGCACGTGAGGCAGAAGGCCTCCATGGTCTGTGTTAARTAATTCTCTCAGGTGATACTTCCCGGACAGTAATGGTTGTACTCTAACAGATTAGTCCTCACCCTGACTGCTGGCTTTCTGCTTTAGAGATAYGGCAGTACTTTTAGCCAAAACACATTCTCCCTGAGTATGACATGGTATTCATTGCTGCTTCTCTTTTCAAATGCTTTTCTTTTGTCCTCTTTTCAATTTAAATTCAACTTAYGCATGTTTATCTACATAATATCCTGTAAGTACTTTTACATATAAATRTACTTCTCAATTTTCACTTCTTCTAAAGCTGTCAATAAAACATTTTAAAACCACTCTGGGGCACAGATAAGCTTTTCACTTATCCATACTTTCTCTTATATACAGCAAGGGAGTACTGCTCAGTTCTCTCATAGAAAGCACTGATGAGAGCAGCAGGTTCACGAGCTGTTTTCAAAAGGAACCCAGAGGGACAGAATGCCATCACACATGTTGGCCACTTGATCTGYTCTGTCCTCAGCTTCCTGCTAAAACAAATCTGGCTTGATTGTTCCACATAGCAAACTGTTGTTGATTGATGTAATGCTGAACGGTGCTGGTGGCTGATTCATCACTCTTGGCTTGACCACTGCACAACCTAGTGAGTAAAASGGAGGTGCTACTGACTAGGAAACAAGGCCAATGAAGGCAGAAACAAGGAAGGGAAGAAAAGGGAATCTGATAGCCATCATATGGACACAGAACATAGAGAGAAGAGTCACTAATGTTTTTGCCAAATTTAAGATATATTGGCTTTTCTAATGCTGATTTATTCAGCAAGACACTTAGATTTTGAAAACAGAATTTATAAACACTGCATGGGAGAAATAAGCTGAGAAGCAACATCTTAATATAGAGTGCAGGAGTGCATGGAGCACTTCTGATGGTGGAGGAGCCTGGGCTCCTACACAGTCATTCCCAAAGAATGTTAAAAATATTTGTGGGAGAGAACACGCTTGTGAAATTGATTTTCTGAGCTGCTGTGTGCTTATTTAAAACAAAAATGATCTTACAGCAGTTCTGTGTGTTTCCTTTTCATATCAGTGTTAGGCTTATCTTATAAACACATGTTCAGTATGTAATGCAAGTTAAAAATATCCAYCATAAAACTCGATGCAATGAGAATGTGGCTTGGATGCTTGCTGGCATGCAGAGAGATATCCTGTCTTACTCTTGTTTGTACTGTGATATAGTCGTGGCATTACCACATATCTGGGGCTTTGAAGGATCTATTGTAAACATGTCAAAGACTCTTAGAATTTTTTTTTGGCAATATTAGATCATAAAAACTGAGGAATGAGTCCCACTGACTTTCATTAAACAATGTGTCCCATTATTGTTTTTCCAGTTTTGGAGCTGAAATTAAACTAGCATTAATAACACTGCACATTTTTTTCTTTCAATCAGAAAAAAWTTGATCTTAATTATTGTCAAATCTATATAAACATGCATTCAAAGCACAGCTTAAACATTAACTAGTCACTGCTGTGTGCTGCTTGTGCAGGCAAAGGGAAGAGTGTACCTTGTACAAGATCCCGATGTCCATGGTGGAGCTGGCTGGGTCAGGAGTGCTGTCCCATGCACAGCTCTTCATGTCCCCAGGGAGCTGGGGAGTGCAGGACTAACACGCTGTGGTACGAGTCTTCCACCTGGCAGCTTGCACACAGGAAAAGAGAATCCCACAGCAAATGCTAACTTGTGTAGCAGCCAATTCCAGTGCCACCGCCAGGACAGTTGATGGAGTGTGGGAGTAAAGGCTGTGTGACTGGGGGCTAGGAACAGAGTTGAGCCTGAACTTGGAGCCCAGATTAAAACCTAGCAAGAGTTTAAGGCTGGGACAAAGAARTGAGAAGACATCAAATCAGCAGCTTGTCACAAGAAAGGGGACAGAAGGAAAGAACAGGTGGAAAACCCTTTGCCCCCTTGCCTCTAGACTTAGTTCCAGGAAGACAAGGTCATTATTATGTTGGCATTTTGGCATGGATGTGTCAGCCCAGCCATCCCCTCAGCGAAGTTCAAACTCTCTTCCAGTCTCCTTCTTCTAAAGTGACAGTGTTCAGTTGCTCTCARTTATTCTTTTGGTGTCTCAGGGTGYTAAGTTCAGTGTTCTAATGTAGAAGGTCTTGCCTTGCTGAGAGCCATCTGTGTGTCAGAATGCCAAAGGACAGTGGAACTCCTGCTTCTTAGGATCCTTTTTAAACATCTGGGAAATTAGTACCTTTTTCATATAATTAGTACAAATGTTGTAATAACTAGAAAAGGTAGAAGAATAGTCAGGTTGTGAAATGAAGCACTCAAAAACTGCAAAATGTCATGATTAAGAGTTACCTGGTGATTTGATTGGATCCTGTTACACATACTCATGAGGATATTTTACAAGCAAGTTTGAGTCCAACTTTATTTTTGTTGGCAGTTATTTCAATACAAACATTTGTGTGRAGGTCTTCATTTTCACAGCACCACAGAACCCTAAAAAGTCATTGCAATAGCATCACTTGCTGGATATTTTAGCTTCGTTTTACAGACAGGACAAGCTTCATAGCCAAGAGGCAAGCACATCTGGTAAGGCAGGTTTAGACATCTGGATATCTTGTTACCTTTTCCTTAATTCAAATGACAGTTTCTTCTGAGTCAGGGTACTAYATAAAATATACAGGGTGGAGATGAAATCCTGTCTTTACAGAAATTAACATAAATGAGACATTATGGTACAGATACATATCCTTAAGGTCTAAGTTATTCTGTTCACCAAACCAAATTGCTAACAAATTGGCAAACTAACAAATATCAGCATTTATGAAAATTAAATCCACATGTTCTTCAAATGCATGTATTGTCAACTWCTTCCAGATGTAAAAATCCATGGATAGTTTAAGAGAACCTCAGTCYCACAGTCAGTTTCCATTATGATACTCCAAATGAGCACTATTCATATGCAATACGTAGAACAATATTTAGTCTCTTCAGGAAACAATACTTGTTGCTTTTCTTAGAGCCAGGTATCCAGTAACCACATCTGAAGGGAGCATCCGAATATAGGCAAATTCTTCGATAGTACTAAACCTTAGCTTGCTCTGTGGATCTGTGTAATTTGCCTGAAAAAKAAACAGTGGTAGAGACACTATTCAAATAAAATTTTTAACCATAATAGTAAAATGAGTGTCTTAATTACAAGACCACAAAACAGCGAGTTTCTCTTCCTAGTAGCAGCACTGCTGTTCTACCATGTGGCCACAAGTCTGTCTTTATTTTCTTTCTCCTCATGYCAGAACTTATGAGAAGTTAACAGACCCCTATAAAATCACATTAGAAATGCATTAAACATAACAGGGGGCTGAAATAAGTTTCCTATAAAACACAGYGCAAAAGAAATTCCTCAACTCTCTAAACTCACCCTAGCAACTCTGTGCCTGTGCAGTCTCTCTCAAGGCAGCTCTCCAAAGAATCAGGCTGCTGCCAATAAATTACCCACAAAGAGGCTGAATTATGGGTGCTCTGATAGCTTTGGACTGCCTTTYTCTTGCTGCATACAACTTAGCTTTTAATTTACTTTAAAATGGTTGTTAAAGCTAGGGAGTCTCAGCTTATGGTTCTGTGACTGAACTGATAAGAGATTTGAACCCAGTGCTGTGTTTTGCTGCAGATGCCTGCTTTCAGGATAGCAGCCTGGCCAGCTCACCCTGGGCTACGCTTGTATCCTTTGCTATATTTGGACCCTGGGTGCCTGGGAGCAGTGCCAGTTTCCTTCTATCCTGTCCCCTTATTGCTACAGAAACCTGGAGCTCAGCTGAGCTCAGGGGTAGGCCAGGAGGCTGCACTGGGAGAAGGCAGGCACCAGGGGATTGCCTCTCCACCTTCAGCCTCCAGGAGAATCACTGCCTGTTCGGCATAGGATTACCAAGTGCCTGCCAAGGCTCCAAAAGTGTCTTCCGTGCCTTTCTTTAACACGAGATGGTGGCAGGCTGCAAGGCACAAGCAGTTGAGATCCCTCAAGATGTTGTTACTGAAAGTAGAAAAGGCCAGGAAGAGCTGGAATATTGCCACAGTTATTGTGCAGAGCTCTCTACATTTTTATGTTGGAAAATATAACTGTTACCTGTTGACCATGGTAACAATCCAGCTAGTCACTTGCTCTGATATGACTAGAAAATTTAGTGTTATTTGTRGCTTGATTTTCTTTACAAAGAAATGACACCAGGCTAATTACATGTAGTCAGCTAACAGTTCAAGCCATCAATTAAGTGTCAAACAAATGGCAAAGTTAGAACATTAGGAGTAAATTTATCCCTGGTGGTAACCCCATGTTTACAGCAGGTATAAATATACTTTTATTTCACACTTTATCTGGCCTCATGTAAGAAAAAGCTAAGCAATTAGACTGCTTTTCAAATGTGCACGATTCTGTAATAAAATAACCAAAGAGTATCTGCAATTTATATTGTGTACTGATCTAGGTTAAAATATTATGGCAGTTCTTCACTRTTTTGGTATTTTGTATTGAGCTGTACTGTTTGCAGACATTAACGTATGGTAGGTAGGCAGTCATTCATGCCATAAATTCAGCCTGAAAACAAACTTTACCAATACKTCAATAATTAAAGAGATTGAAATATTAAATTAGGATGATTTTGCTAAGAAAAACCTCTGTCATGTTTAAAAACTAAGTCAAAGGCCATAGACACATGSTCTTAAAATACAATAAACTAGCTATCTCAATCTGTTTCTATAGCAACAGGGCTGATCCATTTTCAGAAAAGGAAGAGAAATATAAACATTTGAAGGTTTGGGTTTTTTTTTAATGTGTTTTACGATAAATTACTCTGTTTTATATGTTAATATACCTAAATACTCATCTTGCTGGTTTGGAAATCTTATTTTGCAGTGTCAATATAGTAGAAAATATCTTTTGAATTCTAGGCTGCCTTACAAATATAAATTGGCTGCTCTACTGAGACCACTGGTAAATTTAATTCCATTTGTGTTACACACAAAAAGAGAAGAGGATCAGTAGAATTTAATTGCRGCATCTAATATGTGAGCAAGTATGCTGATTGAGAATGTTTTAATACACTTCTCTTTTTGTACCTCCTAGACAATTTAATTCTTCCCTAAATGGGTAATGCTAAGGAATTTTTTTCCTCCATGGGGAATCTAGCATTCCCATAGAAAATATATTCTTWAAAAAATGCTTTTCTATTTTACACAGAAAATACAGGGACATTTTTCTAATACTGCATTTCTGCAATATTCTATTGTCCCACATATCCTCCTACTAGGAAATGATCTTGAAAGCATATTTAGTGCTTCTTATGAAACATTTCCAGCCTAGCAATTTAAAGGACACACAGAGTTATTTTAATTAAAAAATGGTTTTTTTTAAAAAATGTGGTCATTTTATCATAGTCTGGAGAAACTTTGCAGGTGAGGTAAAATAGGCAACTTGACTCACAATGCAATTAGAGGATGGAAAATTAAGGAAAAAAAAGTGGAAAGAAAAGAAAACAAAAGCAGCACTGAATAGATTTGTATAGAGAGTATCTGTACTGAGCTAAAATAGTTATAGTACATAAATCACTGATGGAAAAGATGTGCTGGTAAAGAAAAGCTGAGGAATTGAGAGAATTTTCAACAGTTTAACTGACCCTTAGCTAGTAGGGACGTGGTCACCAYTCACATCTATATCCTGCATCATCAGCTCACTATAGGTGCAATGACAGATTAGTTTTGAAATACATCAAAGGTTAGTGCTGGAAAGCATTATTTGGTTCCTTGGTTCCAGCAGAGGTCTGCCTGGCTGGAGGGAATTACCTTTCCTGGGTTTATGAGCATTCTCTTCCATTTACTGTCTGCCAGTTCATCTGGGAGGGAGACGTTGTTTCCCACTCCATCTTGAACACCAAGGGTTATCAGCCTTTATCTGAGCAATTCACTCCTTTCCAAACCACATTCAGAGGCACAGGCTGGACACGTGCCACCTCCTAAGTGCTTTATTTAAATGTATTACTTAAAAAATAAAGTTTAAGAAAACATACGGTACCAAATCAAGATCACATGCTAGGAYGTGGAGGATTATAGTTGGTGCTATAGCTATTCTTTGATGCCTTACACTGAGTATCTATTACAAGGCTGCTCTTAGTTAAGTGCTCATCCATTTTGTGTCCTAATGAGGAATTTTTGCCTAATTGAGTGTACAGAATGCAAGGTGGTATGCTAACCTGCATCAGCATAACAATTATGTACCTTTAAAGTGATATCAAGCCTGTGAAGGTGGGCTAGTGCGCTGTGGGTGAGAAACAGATTAAACTGGGGTGACACAGAAATTCTGTCTGAGGCTCTTTGACGTTACAAAATTTTCATTATTGTAGCTACTTAGTGTAACAATTACACAAGCATTTCTTCACTCCAAAATACAACATTCCCACTCATTTCAATTCCAAGAAATGCACAGGCTTCTGCAAAATAAATCACTTGGGGCTGAAGGTGAAAAGGGAAAAGGTATGCTGTTACTAACACCTGTTTTGTTTTAAGTCAAATTATTCATGTAACATAGAAATAGTTTCAGCAGCAGATACAAAAATTTTGTTGGGCAGAATTCAATGACTTTACTCCTGTTTTATGCCAACAGAATTTTGGGGAATTCAGGCACCAAATTGTAACCACCAAGATTTTCTGGAGCATATGCACACTGTATCTTAARTCAAATGTAGTTTGGGTTTTTTTTCACTTCCTCCTTTTTCTTTAACAAAAACACRTAAAAGAGCCCATCTGTGACACACAGGCTATACATCTGCCAAACTCCAACTTCCAGCTCTGAAGCACAGGGGTATTTGAAATTCTCAACTGTCTATGCCAAGTGTCTGTTTCAGGCTGATTTGTTTGAGGGAAAGTTTGTGAGCAATGATAACAAGGGTTGTTTTTTTTAACTGGGGCCAAACAATAAGATTTTGTCTAATCTCATAATTGAAAATTGCTGAGCCATCTTTTCAAAACTTCCTCTATACGATACAATGAAATCAATCAGCCTCAGACAAACATGGAAAGTTTCAGTCATTGTGGGCATACCTTGGCAAAGTTAACAGTCATGGAAACTGTGGACTACCAGCTTTCGCTGCAGCTATCCTAAGAATTGGAAACTATGGGGATGAATGTAGATGCTACAGGTGAGAAAGTGGTGTCATAGGAGGTACCTGGCAGGACAAGGTATTTGGTCTGTCCTGACATCTATTAACAACTGAAGGAATTAGTGAAATAGTGACAGTATTTGGCCATAGTTTGGTCCCTAAATCACTGGATAATTATTAAGCCCAAGCCTGAATAGGAACCTCAGCACATGCATCTTTTACAAAACAAGGTACCAGCACTATTTCATTCTAGAAAGTGAGATACCAATTTTTAAGAGGAAAAAAATACTCACTGGAAGTCCTGAAATGTCTGAATATTTCTTGGCAGGCTTAAAGGAAGGAGGAGCATCAATATTAAAATCTAGAGAGAAACAAAGGCATAAACTCAGTGTCTTATACATATTCTATAATATAAGCCTCCTCTCTGAGGTCTCTGTTAACTAGCAACACCAAAGCAAAGAAATACGAAGCAGAATTACCTCTGAAAACATTTMGCCTGTTAGCATTGTAAATCACAGCCTGATCCTGCTCACCTATTAATAGAGTTCAGGAAGCCCTCCTCAAAAGGAAAATGTGAGAGCCATTTGAAATGTGCCCATTTCTTCCAAGTCTTAATGAATTCCCTTGCAGTGTCACATGCAAAGAATAGCTATTATCATATGCATACTGTATGTTAAGACCACGAAATGTTGCTCAAGACTGCAGCTCTGAAATACTATAATCCAGAAAAGCAAAGTAATCTTTTAAATCAGTTAAATCTTTAAGCATGTACCACTTTAAGCCCAGTCAATGACCTAGAAAATTGTCTGAATGTTTAAACTGAAGACTGGAAATTGCTGTTCTTTGGTTCCCTTTAGATAGCAATTATCATTCATAAACATTTTTTAAGATACAGTTCGTAAGTTTAAGTAGTTAAATCCTTGATTTTGGATGTTTACAAAAATCTTGTAGCTGACTATTTTTTTYCCTCTTTTTTCATCACACTTGCAACTCATTCAGATGCTATGTTCAATTCAAACACTCCATCCATATCAAATTTCTAACTTATCATCTCAAAATTCAGAAGGCCCTAATGCCACAGACACAGACAGCTGGTTTTAAATATAAAACTGAATTTCTCTTCCCTGCTTCTTATAAAAAATCCTGTAAATTTGTGGTTGCAAACAGAGCATAGTAGAAATAGCAACATCAGCAGATTGTCAGTTACAATAGCCAGGAACACACAGTAGTCTGCATTTTTCTGTAACAGTTGCGTCTAAAACACTTCAAAAAACGGCAAGCTATTTTTGGATAAAGCACCAAGTCTRACAAAAAGTATATGCATATGCTCAGTTCTGAAATGGCCCCCCTTGCTTAAATAAAATCTGAGGATTGCATTCTGCCTGCAGCTAGGTTCAATAGTATCCTACTTTACAAGTAGACTTGAAGTGTATCTAGATTAAGACCACTGCTGAAACTCTGCTCCTGTGGATGTACACCAGCTAGGACTGCTAATCAGCACTGCTAATAGTGTAGTTTCAGCTGTGCTGCACTAAAAAGGGGATGTAGGATTTAAATCTCCCAAGAATCTAGGATAAGGAGCTGGATAGAAGCTTGGGCTGAGGCCTAAGCTACTGCAGGTATGTGGCTTAGCAGAATCTATTTGAAAATTGCTCAAATACAGCTAATCAAGCAGCAGCCACCCATCAGAAGACCTCTGGACTGTACACAATTCAGTGTACACAGTTTTCACTCCTAAACAGTGAAAAGGTGACCAAAATCTCATGGAAATAAGGATTTCTGATCTGGTTTGGATAAATTTTCCTTATTAAACTCTCTCCCCAAATGTATTTGAACTTTGCCACGATACTTCAAATTATTTGTTACCCCCTACTTTTTACTTAGGGCTGATGTGTGTGATTGGACTAATCTTGAATATACTGCTGGACCCTGTTCAAGCAGGATTCTGCATGCACTGATGAAATAATTTAGGTTAGTTTTAAAGAAAGTTATTTGTGTGGATTCTATTATTTATAAATACATGCAAAGCGTCTAAGCAGCTTACAGCTAGGATCATTTAGTTGCCATGGCAATGCCCTTTCTGAAGCAAGAATTTGTTTTAGGTTCTTCCAAGTTCTGTTCTTCTTGCCAGCTGCTGCTCCACCAATGCCGGAGTGCTAGAATTGAAAATATGGTGTTTAGAGAAAAAAAGAAATAAAGAATACTATTTCAGAGCATGACACTTCTATTTCATAGTCTTTCTGATAYGTCTCATCTTGTCATGAACCATTTGTTATTCTCACTTATTTCATCAGCAGGCTACTATACTGTACACTTTAATCTTGGCTGCAAGCAAAACCAAAGCTTTTTGGACTGTGTCAAAGCTTCTATGTTTCCGATTAACTGAAGGAAATTAAAATCTGCTTTTTACATGGAAATAGAAAATCAATGTGGTTAGGYTTAGCCTGAGATTACAGGATTCTGTATGTACTTCCTATCGCATTAGAACTTATTACTATGAAGTTCTCTAAAATTGTGATTATACAGCTAAATTTTCTCTCTCCTTTTTTATGCCATATTACAGGTGCAGCTCTAGYTCTTTTACAAATTATCCATGACTGTAGAAAACACAGCTGATCTTGCAAAATGTAATGCGTACTATGAGAAACTTTCTGGAAATTTTATTTTTCTTTCAAAGGCTACAAGACAGAATAATAGAAAAAGAATAATAAATAGAATGTTGACTGCCAAGACAATTTTGCATTTTGAAAGGCACACTAATGGAAGGCTTGCCACAGGTACTATAATGGCAGTTTCAGTTATCAAATGTGATTGCTACAGAGTAATTTATTTATGTCCCTCCAGAGACAGAAGCTGCACAACATACTGTGCTACTTCTAAATGATCAAAGGACACAGATTTACAGCTTAACTTCAGAAAAATAAAATGTTCTTACAATTGAGGAGTTGCTATTTCTGTTAATAATTGCTACTTGCCCCATGAGTCTCATTGAAACTCAGCGAAGTTCTGCAAACATACTTTTGCTGTGAATGTTTATGAATTAACCTGTTAAACTGATGAGGATGATAAGAGGAAGGACTCAATGAGAAAGCTTTTATTTGTAGACATAAGATATATTCAGAAAAGATTCTCATGAGCTGATGATACACTGGGTTTTGGTGATGGATATCTGATTTAAAACATAAAAACAAATATTTGCTCTTAGGGTAAGACCTTAGTCATCTAAAGACCATTGTATACTAGAGACTGCTACAACATGAGATAAAAATACATGTACTACCACACTACAAATTCAAATTCATTGTATGAATTTGCCTCCAAATCACTGCATAATTTTTTGCTCWGTACTTTCAAAAGCAACTTTTGTTTTTATATGAACTTACACTTCCTAGGAATGGGGCTGAGCATGACCTCACATACCTACAATAAAAATCTAATGACTGCCAAGCACAAATGAATCAAACAAAGTTCAGAGAAAGCTGGAGGTAGGGCAGGTACAGTAGGTATTGCTCTACACAGCTGTCAGAAAGTCTTTTTTTCCTTCCCCATTGCCAGGGGATGTAAATTCTAGTCAGAAAGTTTAGGTAAAGATCGTTTCTTCCTCCTTCTCTGCTCTTAAATCTATCCTCTGCAGCAAGCTAATGGTTCAAACTTGGGCATTCATATGAGACAGACACTRTTTGATTTATTTTCTTTTTGTTAAKGCAAATTAGGCTGAAAAGATGCAAAATTCCATCCAAATTGTTACTACCAGATCATACTGATGAAATGCTGAAATGCTGATTAAAACTCAATGCATTTCTTCTCAAATTAGTTACTGTATTGCAGAGGACAATTTCATGGTTTTTACTATAACTGCCTATTATTTCTGCAGCAATTGCCAAAACCCTGTACATTCATTATTATTTCAAGCATGTAGACATTAGTATTGCCTCTTTGGAAATGGTGACACCCCTCTAAGAACTGAAGGATCAGCTCAAGGCCTCATGGATATTTAAATCCTATGTGGAAGCTACATGGGATGCCTCCAGGCACAAAAGGAGCTTTTGCAATAAGCCCCATTTCTCAAAGATGCTGGTGCTAGCTGGAGGATTAGTGAGCCATGTATACGGTCGTTTGAATGCCCCTCTCATGACTGAAGTCGTCTGCAAAGCAGATGTAGAGTGACTCGCATGTCAGAGATTAATTTCATACCCCCTGCCAAACCTGTGCTTAGTGAGCTGTGCGTTGCCCGATTACTCAAGTTATATGCTGTGGGATATTGTATCTTGTTCATACAGAATGAAATCTGGGATAAAATCCTTCTTTCTAAGTACTGGCTTCAGACCAGCAATCTGAGAAGTTTGCTTGTCTAGAAAGCATTTGTACAGTGTGCCAATGGGTTGGCCTTGACACAGCAAGATAAAAAGATATCAAAAACAAACCCAGAATGACTAACTTAATCTTCTTCACCTTCTCTCCCAGTTTAACCCTCAGAGTGTTTAGGAGCCTGTATTTCATCAGCTGTCAGTGTTTACATGACTCTCAGTGCTGGCAGGCCAGACTTCTGGGGAGCACAGAGCATTTTGCTTCTAAATCTAGCAATGACTGGAAGAAGACATCACAAATCTGTTAAGAGTTTCAGGGACCAGAAGAGGAGCAAAATGCCACTTGCAAATGACTCTGGCAAATTTCTAGCTCAACTGCTTTGCATCCTGCCTTGGTTAGGAACTGGAACATGGGATTCCTGCATTCGTGGTATTAATTGTTCCTCTCTARCTGTGGTAGTTTGTAAGATACCATATCATAAAACATCCACACTTTTCTGGACCTAACAGGTTTTCTGACTCTGTTTCAGAATTTAATATAACAATTCTGCCTCTGGACCAGTGCCATTTTCATGCTATAATAGAGTGTGCACTTTGAACCATGGCGTGGAATATAATGACGTGAATTTCTTAAAAACTGTCAACCTTTTATTTGGCCGTTAAGCTGATTTTCTTAATATTTACACTAGGAACATAGTTAAATAGAATCCTAGCTAGCATTTTATGGGAAAAGCTTGGAATTTCAGATTGTAAAAATAATATACTTACGATGAAGTTTGGATCTTTAAATGGTAATGGCTTGGCAGTAGTTTCCACTGATCCTGTGCTGGAGTCCGTGTTCAGAAATTTATTTTCATTCACAGCCTCTCCACCTGCACTCTGCAGAAAAAATACAATCTTACTGTTTGTTACTCTGAGCAAGTTTAACTGGAGACAGAGCCATCTGCTATATTACCTACCTGTTGCCGTTTTAGCTTTCCTATCTCTTTTGAATCTTTAAAGATGTTGCAYGCCAAGAATGGGGAAGCATGAAACAGAGTATTTGTCAATCAACTTACAAGTGACACAAAAAAGGGAGGGGAATAGAGTGGCCAAAATACACTGAGTAAAAACTGCATAGGGTTTATTGCAGTACTAATGAAAGCCAGCTCATCTCACTTTACAAAGCGCAAGACAGCATGYGGAACCGAAAACAGCAACAATGTACACTGTTTTAGAATGCACTGTATGAACAGGAATATATAAAATTTATAATAAGGTTTTTCATCAAGTTTCTAAAGAAAAAATGATTAATCATTTTATTCTTCACCCTTGGCATCAGTTGTGCTTGAGTGAGGACAAAGTATTTTATTATATATTATTTTTATATACAAGCCTCACAAAATCTACATGGGTGCTAGTTGGTGGTTTCTCGTTTTTCTTTATGGTTTATTTATTTAGCAGGAAGAGCAGTTGGAGAAGATGTGTGTGACCAGAAAGCTAAAAAAGTTGTGTGGCAGTCTAACCAACTTCTGGTGATTCTGCTTGGCTGAATTTATGATGTTTTTTTAATTTGTTATTGACCTGTAAGTCTCCACATTACCAGAACTAGCCCATTCTACACACATAAATGTTTATTTGAAATCCTCATCTATATTGAAGCCAATGGGAATTTTGCAACTGAGTTTGCCAGTTTATCCAATAGGAATTCATACCTTGATTTTTTTTTACTTGGAGAACTAAAAGCTAGGCTAAAAGCTAAGTCAATATTTACTGAGTGGATGGTTAAAATGTTCTTTTACATTACCTTCAGAGAGATAATACTGTGAACAAAAAATTGTTTTCCTGTAAAAACCTGCATTCAAAACCTTTTGTGTTGATACAAGACTCATTTAAGAAGGAGAGWAAAAGGACTGTTACTATTTGTGGCTTATGGGAGTACCTCTACAAATTGAGACTATAAAGCAAAGGCCATGATTCAGCATCCTTYTCCATGTGACAACAAGGAAAGTGTTTTTACTCTTAATAAATGTAAAAGTAATTACAGGATTAGGGACTAGGCACGTTGAACTCTTCTGAGGGGAAATATGTCAGTCATTCTACAGTGCCTGTTTTCAACCTAGCAAAGAAAGGTCTTAAATGTTGAAAGTATAAAGTAAAAAAGCAATGTTTCTTGTGCCTTACTAAAATAAAATATATAAATAGAAACAATCTGTTTTCAAAACAACACTCAGTCCTCTGTAAGTTTATATTACAGGGGATAAGGCCTAARCAGAAGCAACACTGAAGTCTGTAGTTTAAACTTGATTCTTCCATTAAGAGGAGAGACAACATTAAAAAGCAGTGACTGTCAGAGAAAYGGAAGAAATGCAGATGGATGTTTAGATACACGTACATTATGTGGCAGTGAGCAGAGAAAATATCTTTATCAATCCTGAGTAAGTGGCTTTATACACTGAGTTCCTAGGTTTCAAAGTACATTCTTGCACATGCACGCTTCCAGCACTTCAGATTTCAGCAGCAAACATTAGTCAGTCTTGCGAAAGACAAGGTTTGAGATACAAGATTATTTTTCATGAATTCACTATCTCTGATACTGCTCATTATCAGTGTAAATTYTCTTAAGTGAAAGAATCAGCACTCAGATTTATTCTTCAAAGCATTCTTGCCTTTTCTTTGGTACCATCTGCTTGGTTTTAAATCCAGTCCTACAGATAATTACTTTATCACTTTTGCCCCTTCARTGATCCTCTTYTAAGTATTCTGGTTTCTATGAAACYGGCTTTGAGTAGCATTTCAACAATATCTCAAAACAGTAACTAGTATTTTGAGATGAAGTAAATAAAAATARTTAAATAAAAGGGGAAGAAACTTCCTTACACATATAGTCCTTAATTTCTGCAGCTGGATGTACTTACATATCACACTCACTGTCTTCAGTGGTTTTTTTCRGTGTGGATTCAGTGCTTGCTGGTGCACTGGGAAGCAAAGTAAGGAATTGTTCCTGGCAAGACAATTCCTGAATGTAAATAGTACATGTTGTTTCTTTTCTGTACCAATCCCTAAAGGATTTCAGGTATTAGAGCTGCTAAGATGTGGGCTAGCTCTCATTACAAGCGAGATGTTGACTTTGTTGGGGCCRGTATCCCTTGCATAGTGGCAAACACAGCAGGATCTGGAGCACAACTGCTGCTTTTTGGGTTCATGGGATCACCCAAGTCATCTCCAGTGCCAGTGAGACATAATGCCTGCAGTAGCTCCAGATCTRTCATGGACAATTTGAGAGCAGTGGTTTCCTCTTCGAGGCAAAGGGTGCAGGCTGGTGTGCAGGGCTGYAAAGCAGCTTTCACACCACTGAGGTATGCAGCTGATACCATGATTTCAGAGCCCTGTTACAGACTGGGAAGCAAGTAAGACTGAATACTCTGATCCCAGTTAAATGCTGGGAACTGAGATAAAGACATACTGTAGAGGCATGCCAGTTCCCTCACTCAGTACTGCTTGTATGAAAACTGTTTTTTAGCTGTCGGTTTATGGCAGAGAGACATTCTGCTAATGTGCTTTTMTTTCTGGAAAAACATTAAAGAGTTGAGCAGCAGCACTGCTTCCAGAATAACGTGCTATTGCACAGAGGCGTGAACTTTGGCAGTACAGAGCTTTTACATGCTCTTCCTGTGCAGCCTGCAGAAGTCTCAGCTGATACCCTCTGCAGCTTTACAGCCACAAACTGCAAGTGCCTCCAGAATCTACAAATCTCTCTGGCCTGTGTTTTAAATGTCAGGATTTAAAGCATAAGAAACATCATGTATTTTTTCAGGTTTGTTTTCTGAAAGCTTTTTAAAGGCAGGGGATATGGATYTACCTTTGTTCTGCAAAACACATGTTTCCTGAAAGTGAGTAATACAGTGATAATACAAACCATTATTTACCACCTGTAAAGAGATTCCTCAGTTAACAATTACTGMACAGTAAAGGTATCTTTAACTTTTAAGATCAGTTGAACAAATCTCTCCCATATGTGCTTGTTTTCTTGGTCGTTTAGATCGGAAGACAGTTCATTGTTCACTGTCATGTGTTGGTACAAACAAACAGGAAGAATTCAAATGCCCTTTGTAGTCCTGTGAAGTGATGGTGGTGTCGTGAGCACAGTGAGGAAGTGCCTGTCACCAGGGAACATGCACTGCTCAATGTGYGCTGTAACCCCCAGTCACGTGTGGGGCAACCTCCCCTTCCTGCCTGATCCAAGCTTGTCTCCAGCATACTTTCCCTACTGAGCCGCTCTCTTARCTAATTCCATCACCCCCAGATTCCTGGGATAATCTCAAATGCTTTTCTGTGGGGTTAGAAAGAAGGTGGAACCATGGGCTGAAATGCTCAAAAGCTTCTTTAAAGCTTCTTTTAAACTGATCTTGTAAACAATCTTTATGGGGAATTCAATATAAACTTCAAGAAGAGAGCAGCTTTTAACGTGCACTTTGTAACTAAATTGTGTCTTTTAAATGGTGGTTTATGTAACTAGGGCTACAGGGATTTAACAGTGCTACATTAGTCACTAAGAAATATGTTTTTTCTCCATAGTCTGTTGAAGATTATAGCAACAAAGACTTTGGAATGGCTTTACGTTTACAGGGTATACCGGCATGGGAAAATGAAAGTGTGATTTTAGTACAGCTGAACAGGCTTACGCTAGTTTTACCTCAAATAAGGATAGAAACACTGCAGTAAAGACTGCAGCTACCAGTAACTATGTTCATCCTTTCCCAGCAACTCTGTTMATCCCTACTGAAGTCCATGGTACCACTTCTTCTCACTGTTACCCCTCTCCATTCTCCTCCTCCTCTTCCTCCTCCCAGTAACCTCCAGGCATTGAGCAACCTTGACTGGAATGGCATATATTAAAAGTCATAGGCAGCAGGTCAAACACTTCTTACAGGAGCACTTGTGCAATTTTATTCCCTCTGTAAAATTGTGTTTATGWGCTTTAGCTGAATTTTAACTAGAACCACAGTATGGCAGGTTGGCAACCTCTGTTCCTCCTGGGGTAGCCGAGAGAAATGGTGAGGGGATCAGCTTCTATTTTGCACTTCTTTTCACAAGACCATCTATCCACTATTCAGACAGTCCCTGCTGGGAGGGACACTGTCCTATCTATTATGTCCTAGGACTGGGTGACAGTTGCCCAAGAGAGAAAGATGGCAGAGGACTTGGTAGACAGCAAAAATTTGAGACTGAAAACCAGCAGCCAACACTTGGGAGTCCTAGTAAGTTTGTTTTAGGGGCAGCCAAGTCTGAGGAAGAGACCTGAGTTAAGCTTTCCTACCTTAACACTAGTTTCTTTTGAGTAAAGCCAAACCCCAGGAATGAGCCTAGTTTGGACCCTGCTGTATATGCTGTCTGTGCTGGGAGAAAACACACTGGGAGGCTGCCTATTCACATGCTACTTTTAATACTAGGTTTGGGAGATCTATTGATTTTTCTGTATATATTTTGATCCAAATTCCCTACCSCAGATGTTTTCACATGATTTCCAAAGACTGTGCCATCTGTCTGGTTTTATTTAGAGAGCACAAGCAAAACCTGTAGACCACGGAAGCTGAATTCTCTGTTTTGGCTGTTTCTAGGTGGAATCAGCATTGTGTGGTTTGGGATGTCTGTGATGGTACTAAATACCTTAGTACAATTCCTTATTAACTTGCTATGAAAGTGCTTGTTTTAYTCTTATTTTCTTTTTTTCCCTTCCCCTAGCAAGGATTAGGACTTGCCAACAGAATAGCTGATATATACTGAAATAAAATTTCTTACCCATTTAGTTTTGGATTATATTCAATAGCATTTTTYATTATTTTACACTAACAGATTTTACTATGTATAAAAAACCCCATGAAAATACGAAGCATGAA